GCAACAGAGTGAGACTCTGTCTCTCAAAAAAAAAAAAAAAAAAAGAATATCTAGAGGCAACCTCATTTTTGGCAGAGGAGGGAAAGATGAAGAATAGGTACTTTTAGTATCTTCATTTGAGGAGTGCCAACATGAGAGGCATACACTGCCTGTGCTACAATCGCTTTAAGAATTACAGACAAACTAATAGAATGGTGACGTGCACTTTTCTAGATTTGTACCTTCCTTCTTGCGACTCGCATCCTGGAACGTCATTATGTTTGTGTGCTTTGAACAACTGAAACGGGAATTGATGAAGTCAAGGCAGACCGTGGACTGTGCCACGTAATCAACTTCGAGGAAAAGATGTAACATGCCAGCGGGAATCTTTGCTGACCGAATCATACAATTAAAAAAATAAAAAAACAAAAAAACAAAATCCTATTCACCTTATTTCAACCTCCTAGAAAGATAAAGAAATTCCATAGGAAGTTTTGGACTTTTTTGTATATATAAAAAAGAGCAAAACTAATAAATGTTTCCTATAACTTTTGTTCTCAGTGTCTTAAGGAGGGAGAAGCAAAACATTCAGTATACATCTTGGCAAAGGCAGTGCCCAGATAAGTTACTGGATTTGATTGGCCGTTTTTGGAGAGGAATTGTATGATTGAGTATGAAGAACTTTAACATGTTTTCATTATAATTCCAACTAGTGGAAAAGAAAAACTGGGTGAAATGCAGTTTATATTTATAAATACTTAAAAAACGAAGTTATCGAAGAAACATTACTGTTTCTTTTTATTTCCTAACCAGAGTTGTCAGTTAATATAGTCAATAAAGTATTGCTAATGCCTCTTAAAGTGTATCTTATGGGATCTGTACCTGGGTGTAAAAGTGGAAGTTTACCTAGAACATAAAATCATCCAATAGTAAGTGAAGGTCTTTAGAATCATAGGCATAAACTTACTGTCAATGTTATTAGTACAGATTTTTAATTTGTAGAGCCCATATTTTATGACATCCATAACAACTACATTAATGTGGGCATTATTGTCCTGGTGTCTGTCCTAGTCTCATAAAATTTTAGAGCTGGAGGGCACCTCGGGGGAAGACAGAGGAACAGTCTGAGATTCTTACTGAGATGAAAAGGACTTTTCATGGCATCTTTCCAGCAAAGCCAAATTCAAATTCATTATTAGTATCCGCAATAACCTTTTTCATGCCTACAAACTATGTGCAGAAGAGATAGCAAAAGAATAAGCCAGAAATTCAGAAAAGTGTAAGACAAGCAAGGCGCAGCCTTGTTTTAAGACAAAAACAAAGACTGGCAGAAGGACCAGGAAGCCTCCAGGCTGTTGGGCATCACTCTATTACTGTTTTAATCTGCTCCGTGTTACATTTACTGCTGTGGTTTCACCCTTCTCTCCATGCTTATCGTCCCCATCTGTTACCTATAAAAGCCACTTGGAGCAGATGTCTCCAGTGTCTGCACATACTGTTGTGCTCTTACCTCTTTAGTGCTGGCCTGACTTCCCATTATCATGCCAGCACTTGCCTTTTTTAGGGTCTTCTGGCCACCAGAGCCAGCTTTCCCCACCTGTGCATGGCATGCTAGAAATGCTGGGAAAATGTTGCAGCCGCGGGCACAAGCCCACACCAATATCAGACAGTAGTTGGTGTACACAAATCTCAGTTCCCTCAACCCTCACAGGGAGTACCACTGAAGCATCACACTGCAGTTCCACCCAGTGGTATTTTGCTTCCTACAAAAACCCTTCATGGGCTGACTTCAATTCCCTATCTCAGTGCCCTATTCCCTTATCAGTTTTCCTGGGATCATCTCCCACATAAATTGCAAATCCTTTTTTCAAGATCTGATTGGGAGGGATTCCAAACTAAGACAACCCACAACCTTAAAGTAGTGTGTTTCTTTGAAGAATAAAGAAGAAAACATATAACATCAATTCTTTGCCAGGACCTCGGTCAGGCAAAGGGCAGCAGCAAATGAGGGAAGAAAGTTAGCCAATTCCTGGTACACAGAAAATCAGTCATGAGAAAATATCTGAGGGCCTGCTATGTGCTACACACTGTGTATACAGTGGCAAATAAAACAAGCATAGGCCCTGCCCCATACAGAAGGAAATCGACTTGGTATCAGAATGTACCCAGGGATTTACTGAGTGCCCTGGTAACAGTCTCAGTGATGTCATCTGACAGGGAACACAACCCTGGCAAAAAACCCCAACCCTGGCCTGAGAATCACCATGCACTGATTTTTCTTTCTTATGTAAAACAAATGGCAATAATCACAGTCTAATATCTTGTTATTTAACAAGGTGATCCATTACGTGAAACAAGGTAAGATGTAAAGTCTGCAAATCTCCTGCTTAGAAATCATGCTTGCTTCCTTCTGTCTTCATTTGTTAAAATGGGAAAATTTTTATTGTGGAATATAACACATACACAGAAAAGTGCATAAGTAAACGAACATTTTAATATATTATTACAAAGTGAACCAACAGGTATTCACAGTGAAGCTCCAGAAACAGAAGATTGCAGGCCCACCTCCACCCCTAGGACCACCACTCACAACTAGCTTAACTTCACTTTCATGGTAAATGCTGTGTGTGTGTGTGTGTGTGTGTGTGTGTATGTGTGTGTGTGTGCGTGCGCATGTGTTTCAAAAACCAGTATCATAGTAATCTTTTTGTGTGTTTTATATAAATTCACTATTTAAGTATGCATCCCTATATTATATGGCTAATTTGTCTATTTTTGAACTTTATATAAATGGAATCATCCAGTATGCTTTTTGTAATGTGTGGCATCTTTTGACAATATTATATATTTATAATTCATCCAAGTTGTTTCATATAGCTCTAGTTTTTACATGTTTAGTTCTATACAGTATTCTATTGTATACGATTTATCCATTCTATGTTTGATGGACATTTGAGATGTTTCTAGTTTTAGCTGTTGCATTGCTGACATGAATATTTTTATGACATGTATATTATTTTCATATTGCCACTGTAAAAAAAATTACCACAAACTAGGTGATTTAAAACAATACAAATTTATTATATTATAGTTTTGGAGATAAGAAATCAAAAATGAGTGGGCAGGGCCATGTTCTTCCACAGGTTCCGGGAGAATTCTATTCCATCTTTCAGCTTCTAGAGAATTCTGACATTCCTTGGCTTCTAGCCACATCATTACAATCTCTGCTTCTTTCATCACATTGCCATCCGTCTCTTGTAGTGATTTCCCTCTGCCTTCCTCTTAAAAAGACACTTGTAATTGCATCGGGCTACCCCAGATAATCCAGGATAATCTCCCCGTCCCCAAATCCTTGATCTACCAAATCGCTTTTACCATGTATGGTAACATATTCACAGGTCCTGGGGCTTAGGAATTGGTCATCTTTGCGGGTTATTATCTAGCCGACCACAACATATATCCTGGAGTACATGATCACCCATTTCTATAGGGTATCTTCCTAAGATCAAATTTCCTTACTAGATTTGACAAATTGGATTATTGTTCAACAATATTCACTTCTTTCCTCCACCTTGAAGTGACCATACTTCCCCATTACTTGTTTTTGGCTTTGGCTCTGTAACTTGCTTTAGCCAATGGTATAAGCAGAAGGGTTGTGAGTAGAGAATTTAAACATACTTGGATAGCTGGCTTTCCCACTAGTGCTGTAATCACCGGCCATGAGTGTAATCACTATGCGCTGTAATCACTTACGCTGTAAGCCACTACGCGTGGCTGCTCATCTAAGGAAACTCTGGAGACCTATGGAGCATTTTGATGCAGATCATTATCCTCTAGGTACAGACCATGAATAAGAAAAATAAATACTTTGAATCTGTAGATTGCATTAATTCTTTAAGATCAATGTGAAAATAGTTTTCTAATGCGAGAATATGGTATATGTCTG